GGAGGGTGAGTGGGGGAGGGGGAGGGGGAGGGGGGTGTGGATGGATTAAATGTAGCGCGCGAATACTCGAGAGCCGATGAAATGTCGGTCGCCTTCGTACGGTAATCAACGTACGAAATCCGTACGAAAATCGCACAGTAGGCGAGAAGATGAGGCAGAAGCCGCGACGGGGCTCGTGCAGCCCCTTGAGAAATGCATTTAATTTTCCGCCTGCGGGACTCGACTCGAGAATTTCAGTGACGTCTAGTCAAGCCCAGTCGTAAAACACGAATCGCTCAAAAAATCGGCCGCGAAATTGCGCGAAGGTGCGCGCGCCGGGGGTTGGCCACTTTACCAGGTATGCGCCCACGGCCCGACTGGAATAATCGTGCCCGCGAGCAACGGCGGGGGTGGGGACGCTCCGTGGCCGCGTTCCACGGATACCGTGGGCCACTTTAGTGCACGCGAGTCCCGGCTCCTACTAGGCCGACTGCCCCTGAAACGGGGCGGGGCTCCCGACTATCATCGGGGCCGCCTCATCGCCTACATACCGTCGGCTACCTCAGCGGTAATTTGGGTGGGCGCGCGCGTTCTTTTGTAATTGGGCATGTGATTGGGCTCTCGGGTGTGCCGAGTCCTTGGTGTCGAGGGGTCGCGCGCACTCGCGTCTTTGGATCGTCGAGCTCGCGTAACGACGTTCAAGCTCCGGGTATTAGGACTGCCTCGCGAAGCTACTTACGCTAATGGGATCGAGGGAGTGAGGCAAGTTGTTGAAAAAAATTGAACGTTAGCTGAATTTTCGGTGAAATCGGCAGTGTGTGAAATTGGTATTCCCACGTAGTTGGCGGCGCCCGATGGTATTGCTCTTAAGCTGTTCAGTTGGATTCTCCGTGATATGTCCGTCGCTTGTTTAGTCGCTCACGGCAAAGGACCTTCTCACCTTAATCCGATCTTTAAGATTATGATTAAGATTAAGGCGCCACGATGTCGATAGATCGTTATTTCGTGCATTAAAATCTCGTGTCATAATGATTTGAGGGTGGGATTGGCCGGTAGTTGATATTGTTGAGCATCATGTTGCGATTGGGACGATATTACGAGCATACCTAGCGTTAAATGCATAGAGCGGAAGAGCCGGAAATACCGTCGTGCGCGTAAATGCGCGGATGCAAGAATCTACCTTCGCTTTGTCGTCATCGAGTGCAGTTACATAAGCATTAAAATACAAGCAAATTATTAAGAAACTTATGTTGGTATAATGGTGAGTTGGATTGTAGCGCGACGTTGGTAGCACGTATGCGTTAAGCAGAGCCTTTGAGTCTTCTTGCTATCGAATTTTAGTCCGCCAGGTTAGATAAAAGGACTGGCAATTCTATAAATATTCTTGAATATCGAGCTAATATATCCACTATTTTCATTATTTATAATAAAAGGCCTTGTGCAGGCAATAACACTGTTAATGTTTATCGCCAAGTTGGCCGCTCCCTCAGCCGCAATTTATCTATTTTCTACAACTTGTACTGCGCGCGACATGATAATATCCGCATAACGCGCGATAAAAGTTATAAACGAGTTATTTTCATCGTCTTCAGCTAGTATTCTGACGGGGTAAGCAAAGTGAATTTCCGGAATTAGGAAATTGTATCGAATTAGGCGATCGATTAGATTGTTCGCGAGGATAAAACATAAGCTGGGCAAATTCAATGGATTGTAAATGTCCAGGAACTCGAACGTGCATCACGTCGCGACAGTGGCGCGCGAGGATCTTGGATAAGGGGATCGCCGACTAATTCCTCGACGTTTGTTTTAGTCGGAAGGAGGGACGATGAGAAGCAATGCCGAGACCTCGTGCTATCTGGACGAGCGACGGATTCCCGAGTTCTTGAACTTCCTTATGAGCCACCTCGCGGTCGAGCGACCGGACGAGCCTCTCGGCTACCTCCACGAGCTGCTTGACAAGTGTCTGCTGTTTCGGGCCGGCCTCATCGAGCCGCCGTTGCTCTTCGACGCACGGTAATTCGAGTCCTCCTGCCCTCAAAACTCATGGGCCCACCGCCGAATCTCGGCTATTTCCGTCACTTCACATGGACAGTCGACGATTTGACTTGAGAAACTTGAGAAATTGTCGGCCACACGGCTACCCGGTGCCCAAACTCTTCTTCTGCTGCCCAATTAATCGATATTGACCGATACACTCAATTTTATTTGATTGGTGGTATCTTTCTCTCGACTCGTGGCTTATATCATTTTTCCAAACTAAAACATTCGTGCGTTGGGATACGCTATGCCCGCACTCGGGCATTCCAACGGGTTGGATAATCTTACGTTTTTTGCCCGCAATCGATGCAATCAAACGTCAATGCGCAATCAAAGTTGTTAATTCCTACTGTCGATCGTTATTATTTTAATAATCATCGTGGAAGTGATACCGAGCATCGATCGATTGTCGATCGATAATCCAATGTAATGAGAGATTTACCAAATCTTACGATACTCTGCTCGAACAATATATATATATATATATATATATACGTGTGTGTGTGTGTGTGTGTGTGTATGTGTGTGTGTGCGCGCGCGCGTGAGGTGCTCCTTTTGTCGCAAAAAATATTCATATTGGATAAAATATAATACATAACCTTAAATTAAAATGTCCACGTGTTTATATCACCTCGGTATGTGCAGTATTGCAAAAAAGTACCTTAAAGTATCAACGAACTATTTCACTGGAACCTCAATCGTATCGTTTATTATTAATTCTCCTGCAATGGCATTAGAGACGACTAACGCAAAATGAGTTCGAAGAATCAGTTACGTTGTAATTTCGTTCCTGCTTTAAAGAAATAATCGTCTACTTCCGACCAATAGAGTCGACAGACGTCGAACATTACAGTTCGTTACGAAAATTGGCTTTTTTGGTAGCAAAAAAAAAAATGAAGAACAAAATAAAAGCGCAGCGGCAAAAGAGAGTCGGAATAAAAGTTAATTGTCAGAATGTGGTGGGCATCGAGTTTGAGGGCTTGAGGCTGTAAATGAATGAAGAGAGGCGATATCAAAATTGCAGTTGTTATCAGCGAGGTGTGGGGCAACTGTCCATTCCAGCCCTGCCAACTATTTCTCGCTTTTACTTTCTCGCTTAATATCTGTTGCTTTTCAAACGCTACTCGATACGTCAATAAGGATATTTAAATAATCATCATTCCTCTTCCTCTTAATTGATAAAGTCCCTTGATTAACCAACAATCTTAGCTTAGGTGCAGGGCAAATTAGCCGACATGCACGAGCGATTTATGCCGCATATAATTCGAGTCTATAAATTTAACGAGTAATCCAAATATTCGAGGCAATCCTCGAAATACCTCCTAATGAAAATATTTCCGACTCGAGATCCGAGCGAAGGGTCAGCGGCACATTGAAAACCATTGGTTACGAGGAGCTAAGAATTGCCTCACCGAGCACAAAAGGGCGGGGCGGGGCATCTTCGTCAATTTCTACGAAAAACCTTGGCTGAGAAAAAAAGTGCTCTTGCTCGTTTTTTCAAAGTGTAAATATTTCACTTTGGCGATAATCCCTTTCATAAATTGTCTACCTCTTGACCACGAGAAAATCATCAACGATAATGATGCATTACGTGGAAACCAAAAGTCGAAAAGTCGGTAATTGCGGAGGAGGTGAGGGGCCCCAGTGCACGGGGCAACGCACCTTTCGCAAATGACAGAGAATGAGAGAAACTGCTGCTGCGGGAGGGGATGAGGAGATCGCGAGATGCAAGGGGTGTCGAGTTCGTGGGCCAACTCGTTAAAAGTTGCCGGTGGCGGCGCATTTTCAAATTATTGGGCGACGCCCGCCGGCTACATAAGTCCTTTTCGCGGTAATCCCTTCAATTCCGTTTCGTCACGAGGGTCCGGCCGCAAAATGACAGTTTCGCCGTCCTTCTCATCCATGGCGAATAATGGACGCAAGGGCATAAAAATACCCAATGTCTCTGCCTCTATCCCTCCACTCCGCCCTCACACACATACACATATCCTACCTTCGCCACAGTCATTGTGCGTGCGTTTTTCATTTTCAACTCGGTGATGACGATGTCGCCTATCCTTTACGCCTCTACATTACGACTCGCAATTCGCCCTTCTATTCTTCGGCTTCCTCCTTCTCCTCCTCTTCCTCCTCCACCTCCTCGTCCTCCTCCTCCTCCTCTTCCTCCTCCACCTCCTCGTCCTCCTCCTCCTCCTCTTCCTCCTCCACCTCCTCGTCCTCCTCCTCCTCCTCTTCCTCCTCCACCTCCTCGTCCTCCTCCTCCTCCTCTTCCTCCTCCACCTCCTCGTCCTCCTCCTCCTCCTCTTCCTCCTCCACCTCCTCGTCCTCCTCCTCCTCCTCTTCCTCCTCCACCTCCTCGTCCTCCTCCTCCTCCTCTTCCTCCTCCACCTCCTCGTCCTCCTCCTCCTCCTCTTCCTCCTCCACCTCCTCGTCCTCCTCCTCCTCCTCTTCCTCCTCCACCTCCTCGTCCTCCTCCTCCTCCTCTTCCTCCTCCACCTCCTCGTCCTCCTCCTCCTCCTCTTCCTCCTCCACCTCCTCGTCCTCCTCCTCCTCCTCTTCCTCCTCCACCTCCTCGTCCTCCTCCTCCTCCTCTTCCTCCTCCACCTCCTCGTCCTCCTCCTCCTCCTCTTCCTCCTCCACCTCCTCGTCCTCCTCCTCCTCCTCTTCCTCCTCCACCTCCTCGTCCTCCTCCTCCTCCTCTTCCTCCTCCACCTCCTCGTCCTCCTCCTCCTCCTCTTCCTCCTCCACCTCCTCGTCCTCCTCCTCCTCCTCTTCCTCCTCCACCTCCTCGTCCTCCTCCTCCTCCTCTTCCTCCTCCACCTCCTCGTCCTCCTCCTCCTCCTCTTCCTCCTCCACCTCCTCGTCCTCCTCCTCCTCCTCTTCCTCCTCCACCTCCTCGTCCTCCTCCTCCTCCTCTTCCTCCTCCACCTCCTCGTCCTCCTCCTCCTCCTCTTCCTCCTCCACCTCCTCGTCCTCCTCCTCCTCCTCTTCCTCCTCCACCTCCTCGTCCTCCTCCTCCTCCTCTTCCTCCTCCACCTCCTCGTCCTCCTCCTCCTCCTCTTCCTCCTCCACCTCCTCGTCCTCCTCCTCCTCCTCTTCCTCCTCCACCTCCTCGTCCTCCTCCTCCTCCTCTTCCTCCTCCACCTCCTCGTCCTCCTCCTCCTCCTCTTCCTCCTCCACCTCCTCGTCCTCCTCCTCCTCCTCTTCCTCCTCCACCTCCTCGTCCTCCTCCTCCTCCTCTTCCTCCTCCACCTCCTCGTCCTCCTCCTCCTCCTCTTCCTCCTCCACCTCCTCGTCCTCCTCCTCCTCCTCTTCCTCCTCCACCTCCTCGTCCTCCTCCTCCTCCTCTTCCTCCTCCACCTCCTCGTCCTCCTCCTCCTCCTCTTCCTCCTCCACCTCCTCGTCCTCCTCCTCCTCCTCTTCCTCCTCCACCTCCTCGTCCTCCTCCTCCTCCTCTTCCTCCTCCACCTCCTCGTCCTCCTCCTCCTCCTCTTCCTCCTCCACCTCCTCGTCCTCCTCCTCCTCCTCTTCCTCCTCCACCTCCTCGTCCTCCTCCTCCTCCTCTTCCTCCTCCACCTCCTCGTCCTCCTCCTCCTCCTCTTCCTCCTCCACCTCCTCGTCCTCCTCCTCCTCCTCTTCCTCCTCCACCTCCTCGTCCTCCTCCTCCTCCTCTTCCTCCTCCACCTCCTCGTCCTCCTCCTCCTCCTCTTCCTCCTCCACCTCCTCGTCCTCCTCCTCCTCCTCTTCCTCCTCCACCTCCTCGTCCTCCTCCTCCTCCTCTTCCTCCTCCACCTCCTCGTCCTCCTCCTCCTCCTCTTCCTCCTCCACCTCCTCGTCCTCCTCCTCCTCCTCTTCCTCCTCCACCTCCTCGTCCTCCTCCTCCTCCTCTTCCTCCTCCACCTCCTCGTCCTCCTCCTCCTCCTCTTCCTCCTCCACCTCCTCGTCCTCCTCCTCCTCCTCTTCCTCCTCCACCTCCTCGTCCTCCTCCTCCTCCTCTTCCTCCTCCACCTCCTCGTCCTCCTCCTCCTCCTCTTCCTCCTCCACCTCCTCGTCCTCCTCCTCCTCCTCTTCCTCCTCCACCTCCTCGTCCTCCTCCTCCTCCTCTTCCTCCTCCACCTCCTCGTCCTCCTCCTCCTCCTCTTCCTCCTCCACCTCCTCGTCCTCCTCCTCCTCCTCTTCCTCCTCCACCTCCTCGTCCTCCTCCTCCTCCTCTTCCTCCTCCACCTCCTCGTCCTCCTCCTCCTCCTCTTCCTCCTCCACCTCCTCGTCCTCCTCCTCCTCCTCTTCCTCCTCCACCTCCTCGTCCTCCTCCTCCTCCTCTTCCTCCTCCACCTCCTCGTCCTCCTCCTCCTCCTCTTCCTCCTCCACCTCCTCGTCCTCCTCCTCCTCCTCTTCCTCCTCCACCTCCTCGTCCTCCTCCTCCTCCTCTTCCTCCTCCACCTCCTCGTCCTCCTCCTCCTCCTCTTCCTCCTCCACCTCCTCGTCCTCCTCCTCCTCCTCTTCCTCCTCCACCTCCTCGTCCTCCTCCTCCTCCTCTTCCTCCTCCACCTCCTCGTCCTCCTCCTCCTCCTCTTCCTCCTCCACCTCCTCGTCCTCCTCCTCCTCCTCTTCCTCCTCCACCTCCTCGTCCTCCTCCTCCTCCTCTTCCTCCTCCACCTCCTCGTCCTCCTCCTCCTCCTCTTCCTCCTCCACCTCCTCGTCCTCCTCCTCCTCCTCTTCCTCCTCCACCTCCTCGTCCTCCTCCTCCTCCTCTTCCTCCTCCACCTCCTCGTCCTCCTCCTCCTCCTCTTCCTCCTCCACCTCCTCGTCCTCCTCCTCCTCCTCTTCCTCCTCCACCTCCTCGTCCTCCTCCTCCTCCTCTTCCTCCTCCACCTCCTCGTCCTCCTCCTCCTCCTCTTCCTCCTCCACCTCCTCGTCCTCCTCCTCCTCCTCTTCCTCCTCCACCTCCTCGTCCTCCTCCTCCTCCTCTTCCTCCT